GGGGGCGGGGCGGAAAGAGAGAGAATCCTCAAGCAGACTTCCTGCTGAGCAAGGAGCTGGACGTGGGGCTCAATCCCAGGACCTCGAGATCACAACCTGAGCCAAAATCAAGAGTCGGCCACTTAACTGACTCAGCCACCCAGGAGCCCCTATAAAAAAGGTAGACTCTAGTTAAGGCATTTAAGAAGGCAAAGCAGGATCAGTGAGAACAATGGCATTTTGTGGAAAAAGGACTGACTACACATTTCCTGATTACCTCCCACGGGCCAGGAACTGCTGGGCACTGGAGGAACGCCCGGGGATAAGGACACTTAAGCAGAGGATGTCAGGACCCACATTCCACTGGTCAAAATTCTTTTGCTTTTCCTTTTCATGATGTAATCCTTACGTTGACTCAAAACTGCTCCCTGTCCCCCCCCCGGAGGGCTGAGAGCTGCTGCTGGGAGACTCTGGTGGGGAGGGAAGGAGGAAGTTCCACTGCAGGGGCAAGCAGACGTGGAATTTCTAAACAATAAAACCTTCAGGAGGAACTCTCCAGCTAAGAATAATGGGGGCTCAGGTGGCTGAGCATCCAGCTCTTGGCTTGGGCTCAGATCATGATCTCAGGATTGTGAGATGGCGCCCCACACTGCATCGGGCTCCGCACTCAGTGGGGAGCCTGCTTGAAGATCCTCTCTCTCCCCGCCCCTCCCCCCACATGCGTGCAAGTGCGCGCACGTTCTCTAATAAATAAATAAATCTTAAAAAAATAAAATATGTACAAGAACAAAATCTTGTTCTGTATTTAGTTACCTTAGTTTCCTTTCAGTAAAACAAACGAGACACCTGGACTCCAGAGGGCGCATGGGCCTCCGTGGCATGTGAGCTTCAACCTCAAAAGGCCTTTTAGGCTAATTAGTTGTAATAATCACAATATTCTAATTGTCATCTGTACTGTTGGAAGGTACAAAGGCCACCTTTCCTCTGTTAGTCAGGAGAGTGTTGGGATTATTTTATTTCTTCTGTCCTTACGGATAGTGACAAACCGATCAATGGTGCAGGCAGATTCCTTATCTTAAGAAACCACCTCTCCGTGGAGTTGCTCACAGCCCAATGAGCTAATGGGGCACAGTTATTCCCAGAACGAAGGTGTGCTGCACTACGAGGGAGACCAGACACATGAATGTGGTAGGGACCTGGAGTGCCCATAGGATGGATGTGGTCTCTCTGAGGAGAGGCCCTTGAGCCGGACGGAGGTAGCCACATGGCAACGAGGGGAGACAGTGCAAGCAAAACAAAGCAAACAGAGGAAAGAACCGAAGGACCAGTGTGGCCGCAGTGTGGTGCAGGTCTAAGAAACTGAAAAGCGAAAGGCCACTTTGAGGTGTGTTCTTAGCAAACATTTAGGGTGATATGCACAAAAAATGAAATGCAACCACAGGTTGCAAATCATACAAAACCCAGCCATGCCAGAGTCCTTTGCATATTAAGGAAACAAGTTTTTTGCCTATATACGAATTGCAAGCATTTATATCACTTGTCTTTAAAGCATTTCTTCAGAACTGAAATGCTATATTTGTAATAGATTCATTAATCTCTTCTTCTCATGAGGCTTGAATATCCATAGAAGGGCTTCCCCATTCCAGGATGACAGAAAAGCTTCACCCATGTTTCTTCTAGTAACCTCACATTTTCATGATATATATTTAGATCTTTGATCTAAATGAATTTAGGTTGATGTAAAGAGTAAAGAAGGAATTCTGCTTTATTTTATTTTTTCCAAAATGCTAGACACTTGTCCCAACTCCATTCACTGTTCCCCAGGATGCAAAATGTTCCCATCCTGGTTTGCTGATAGGTCAACTCCTAAGACCAGTAACATTAAAAACAGGCATCCTAAAATCTGCTGTTCGATGGATCTCAGACATTCCTACCCTTATACCTAGAATTCAGTACAAATGAAGTGACTTTTCCTTCCAGCATGCTCCCTGACCCCACTCTCACAGAGACCCGAATGATCACTTTCCTAGGACTGTCTTCTCAATAAATACCAGTCACTCCCCAACCTTCCAGCAAAACCCTTGCCTGAAAGTTTCTCAAGTAAGAATCTTAGTCATAAAGTTGGTTGAGTGTTCGGTCCTTTCTATTACACGAAGTTCCCAAAAGTAGTTCCAGGCTCAGTTTATACTAGCCCACACCTCTGGCACCACACCCCAGGGGTTCCCTGCACAGTTGTCAAACGGTGCTGTTAATTTACACGAACTTTCGGGCTGACAAAAAATGTTCAATCTTGGGGCGCCTGGGTGACTCAGTCGGTTAAGCAACTGCCTTCGGCTCAGGTCATGGTCCCAGGGTCCTGGGATCGAGCCCCGCATTGGGCTCCCTGCTCAGTGGGGAGTCTGCTTCTCCCCCTCCCTCTGCCTGCTGCTCACCCTGCTTGTGCTCTCTCTCTCTGTCAAATAAATAAATAAAACCTTTAAAAAAAATTAAAAAAAATTCAATCTTAAAACAAAAAAATGTTGAGGTCTAATCCTTGTATCACATAAGCGATTTTTTAAAATGCAAGCAATTGGGGCGCCTGGGTGGCTCAGTCGTTAAGCATCTGCCTTCGGCTCAGGTCATGGTCCCAGGGTCCTGGGATCGAGCCCCGCATTGGGCTCCCTGCTCCGCGGGGAGCCTGCTTCTCCCTCTCCCACTCCCCCTGCTTGTGTTCCCTCTCTCACTGTGTCTCTCTCTCAAATAAATAAAAAATCTTAAAAAAAAAATAAAATAAATAAAATAAAATAAAATTCAAGCAATTTATATAAGTATATTTACAATAAATATAATCCTGGGGCACGTGCTTGGCTCAGTCGGTTAAGTGTTCAACTCTTGGTTTTGGCTCAGGTCATGATCTCAGGGTCCTGGGATCAAGCCCTGCATCCGGCTCTGCTTGAGATTCTCTCTCCCCTTCTCCCTCTACTCCTCCTGCTCATGCTCTCTCTCTCTCTCAAATAATAAATAAAAATCTTTTAAATAAATAAATAAATAAAATCACCGAATGCAAATCATTAGATATCAACTATTTACAGGATCATTTTTATTTTTATTTATTTATTTATTTTTAAGATTTTATTTATTCATTTGAGACACAAAGATAGAGAGAGAGAGAGCGCACAAACAGGGGGAGCAGCAGAGGGAGAGGGAGAAGCAGGCTCCCCGCTGAGCAAGGAGCCCGATGCGGGGCTCAATCCCAGGACCCTGGGATCATGACCTAAGCCGAAGGCAGACGCTTAACCGACTGAGACACCCAGGCGTCCCTACAGGATAATTTTTAAAATTGAAATCTTGCTTTCTGAGTATGGAAGTAACATATATTCATTACAAAAGTTTACTCACTTCACAACTATATCAAGTTGAAGGTAAAAGTAATTCATTCAGTAATTTCATTCTCCAGTTAACAATTTGATATGTACCTTCCAGAATGGTTTTTTTTTTATATAAACAGGAATTTTCTGTGTCTTACATAGGAATCATTCTTATGTCTTATATGTATTTTTTTTAAGATTTTATTTATTTGAGAGAAAGAGAGAGCGAGCTGGAGGAGAGGCAGAAGGACAGGGAGAAGCAGACTCCGCACTGGGCAGGGAGCCCAATGTGGGGCTCGATCCCAGGACCCTGAGATCATGACCTGAGCCAAAGGCAGACACTTAACCAACTGAGCAACCCAGGCGCCCCACCAGATGTTTTCTGTGTGTATATGTTCTTGTTCCAGTTTTTTATAAAAATGAGATCATATTCCCTGTTCAGTAATATTTTTCCCTACTATATAATCTATAAGGGGCATGTTTCCTTTTAAATACAAGGATCTTATTTATTTATTTTAGAGAGAGAAAGAACATGAGTGGGAAGGGCAGAGGGAGAGGGAGAGAGAATCTTAAGCAGATTCCACACTGAACATGGAGCCCAACATGGGGCTCGATCTCACAACCCTGAGATCACGACCTAAGCTGCAATCAAGAGTCAGATGCTCAGGCGCCTGGGTGGCTCAGTTGGTTAGGCGACTGCCTTCAGCTGAGGTCATGATCCTGGAGTCCCGGGATCGAGTCCCACATCAGGCTCTCTGCTCAGCGGGGCGTCTGCTTCTCCCTCTCCCGCTCCCCCATCTTGTGCTCTCTCTCTCAAATAAATAAATAAAATCTTAAAAAAAAAAAAAGAGTCAACTGACCCTTTTTAACACTCAACTGACTGCACCACCCAGGAGCCCGAAGGATCTTACTTTCTAATAGTTTCATAGTGTGCCATTGAACCAAAGGAGAGCATTACAGGACAGTTCTGAAGACTACCTTCATTATTAGCTGGAGTGGTTTCCACATTCCTTGGTGACAAAGAAGATGCTTCTGGTTGTGCTGATGCCCATCCTGTGCCGCTCACCTGCAGCAAGGTGAAAAAAGTCATCAGTAAGCAAAGCAAGAAAAGTCACAAAAAAGTCAAAGCAGGGGAAAAGCTAATAATTTAATAGTCACCTTCTAAGTACCTGGATTAACGGGAAGAAAAGATAGTATTAAAACATGCCTATTTTTTTTTTAAGATTTATGTATTTATTTTAGAGAGAGAGAGAGAGTGCACATGGGGAGGGAGGGGCAGAGGGGGAGAGAGAGACAGACAGACCTCAAGCAGCCTCCCTGCTGAGTGCGGAGCCTGATGCAGGGCTCAGTCTCCCGACACATGAGATCATGACCCGAGCCGAAATTAAGAGTCGGACACTTAATTGACTGAATCACCCAGGTGCCCCAGGAGCACACTTATCTTGATGAGCACTGGGTATTGTACAGAGCTGCTGAATCTTTATATTGTATACCTGAAACTAATATAACACTGTGTGTTAATTATACTTCAATTACAGTCACCAAATCATTAATAAATCAGGTAGTGCCTACCAGGCTTTTCTCCAGTAAAATTACCATTTTCCCCTTCCCATCCCCTAGTCTTGGGAAACGAGTCACCAAGTTTGGTTGCACTCAAGCGGAGGGGGTGAAGCTCCACCTCCTGAAGGGCAGTTATCTTTATATATACATGATTGAATTTCTCTCTAAGGAAGATCGTCCCTTCTCTTCATTTATTTATTCAATCATCTATTTATATTAGTGTAGACTTGTGGAGATTTATTTTATTCTTTGGATTATAATCCAAATGGTCATTATTTTGCTGTTGACATTGTTCCAGCTCTGCCTCGCTAAAACAACCTGAGTTCATATTAATGCTAATTCTAACATTCGTCCACATCAAACTGTTCCTCTCTCTCCTCCTTTTAGCCTGTTGTTTGTATTCCGAATACTTCCCAGCTACTACCTGTGGATATTCTATACCTTGTTCCATATCAAACAAGATGTGCAGACTGTGACAGAATACCTCATCTTTTCTTTTGTTTTCTGTTCCCTTCTTTGTTGATAACTACTTCTAATAAGTACTATGTCAATGAACATGTATGTGCACATTATAATAACAAAAAAAATCAAGGGACAGCAATTTCATGTCTGTACTTGAAAATTGGTTAAAGAATGGGTTGTACAGCAGTTAAGCAAACGTGCCCCCTCCCCAGTGGGACTGGGAGGAGGGAGGGCAGTGAACAGACACCTGAGGCTCTAAGCCAGGGGTCTGCACACATTTCCCTAAAGGACCACTCAGGAAATATTTTAGGCTGTGGAGGCCTTATGTTTCCCAGTCTTAGTGATTTTGGGATGATTATTGTTGCTCCTATCAGACCACAATAATGGTTCTGGCCGCTTTTACTGGAGGCTCACTCTGTGCCAGCTCCTAATTCCTTGCATCAGTACTGATTTCATTCTTTTATTTAAGTAGGGAGCCCAACGCAGGGATTGAACTCACAACCCTGAGACCAAAACCTGAGCTGAGATCAAGACTCAGATACTTAACTGACCGAGCCGCTCAGGCACCCCCTGACTTCATTCTTAAAATAGCCTTGAGATACCCTCTACGTACACAGCTAAACTGGGACAATGAGATTCAAACCCCTATTAAAATTTAGGTTTAGGGGCGCCTGGCTGGCTCAGTCAGTTAAGCGTCCGACTCTTGATTTTGGCTCAGGTCATGATCCTAGTGGTGTGGGATTGAGCCCTGCATCCAGCTCCACGCTCAGTGGGGAGTCTGCTTGAGATTCTCTCTCCCCCTCTGCCCCCCACCTCTGCTGGCATGCTCTTAATTAAATATTAAAAAAAAAAAAAAGTCTTCATTCTTTATCAGTTCCATAGTTCTCGATGAACTGTGGCAGACTACGAATAGTAACTTCTCAGCCTCCCTGGCAGCTAGGTATCTATGTACAACTAAATTCTGGCTACTAGGATGTGAGCACAAGTGATGTGCACTACCTCTACATTTTTTTTTTAGTAAAAGGATGGGGCACTTGCTTTCCTAGATGCTTGTCCCCTTTCCATTGCGGTGAAAGGTCATGAGCTGGAGCAGACACTGGACCATGAGATGGAAGCCGACATGTGGAGAAGAGCCAAATAAATCCCTCCCTCGTTCAACCCTGGACGTTAAAGCCAACTTCAGAACCGCTGATGGAAATTCATTTCTATCTTGATTAAGAGACTGTATTTCAGGGTTGTTTGTTACAGAAGCTTAGCCTGTCTCCTAAGTGAAACATTTAAATATACGCCCTTTAGGAATGTAAGAGTAAGCATACATTAAAATTGTATAAAGCATAATACATACCTCAGGAGAAGCATGAGAGGCAAAAAAATCTTCCTCTTTCGGTGGAGGGGTCAAAGGTGGAACCACACAGCTATCCAGCCAGAGCTAGAACAAAAACATAAAGCTCTGCTTAGCCCTTCACCTGGCTTTAACAGGTTTTATTTAATAGTCTCACTCCCTTTCTAGAGATCTGTTTGCTAAAGATCGGTACTTTCCACTATTATACAGTCAGTAACAGGCCTATGCAGGGCCCCTGAGCACATTTTAGTAATGTATCAATCCAGTCACTTTTGCATCCAAACCTTAAGGATGTCAAGTACCAGATTCACAAGCTGTTTCTGAAAAGGAAAGATCAAGGACTTAATTTCTTTTTTTTTTTTTAATCTTTTTTTATTTATTTAATTGACAGAGAGAGAGAGAGAGACAGAGAGAGAGGGGACACAAGCAGGGGGAGTGGGAGAGGGAGAAGTAGGCCTCCTGCTGAGCAGGGAGCCCGATGCGGGGCTCGACCCCAGGACCCTGGGATCACGCCCTGAGCCGAAGGCAGTCGCTTAACCAACTGAGCCACCCAGGCGCCCCAAGGACTTAATTTCTAAGTGCAGGTTCCAAAGTACGGTCAATCCTCATTAACAGTGGTTTCCGTATTTGCAAATCCACCTACTTGCCACAATTTACTCGTGACCCCCAAATCGGTACTCGAGACACTTCTGCGGTCCTTCACAGACATGTGCAGATCAGCAAAGAATTTGAGCCACCCAAGGTACACGTTCCCAGCTGAGATCGAACAAGGTGATGCTCTGCCTTCTCACATTAGCTCTCACACTGTAAACAAGTGTCCTTTTCGTGGCCTATTTAGTGCCATATTTTTCACATTTTTGTGCTTTGTTGATGTTTTCACTGCTTAAAAGGGGCCCTAAGCCTAGTGCTAAGTCCTACCTAGGGCCCTAAGCACACAGAGGCTGTGATGTGCCTTGTAGAAAAAATACAGTGTTAGGTAAGCTTCATTCAGGTATGAGTCATATATAGTGCTATGGGCAGTGAGTTCAATGTCAATGAGTCAATAATTATATATTAATAATATATTAAATTGGGGCGCCTGGGTGGCTCAGTCGTTAAGCGTCTGCCTTCGGCTCAGGTCATGGTCCCAGGGTCCTGGGATCGAGCCCCGCATCGGGCTCCCTGCTCCGCGGGAAGCCTGCTTCTCCCTCTCCCACTCCCCCTGCTTGTGTCTCTCTCTGTCAAATAAATAAATAAACTCTTTTAAAAAAAAAGTAATATATTAAATTGTGTCTATTATCTACTAAATATTATTATATCAATATGCTATTAAGTATTATATACTTAATTATATAATATATTCAATAAGCTGTCCTTAAGCAGAAGCACATGTAAAATAAGGTTATGTATTGTTGTGTTGATGGAAATGTCGTGACTAGAAGCTCGTAGGAACCTAGCCCTCTATTTCCCCTAGGAGTGACGCTTCAGCATTTCCAAATTCAGGGCTGACAGCAACCTCACAGAGCATAACTTCCACCAACAATGAGAAGCAGCTACAGGTTGTTTCCTTGCAAGAGAATCCTGTTAGAAGGTTTTACTGTCCGAAATGGTTAAAACCGCTTTTTCTACTGAAACAAATGTTCATCTGTTCATCTGAAGGAGACAATCCAACCCGCCAGTGCCTTACGTCAGTGCCGTGCTTCCGTGTTGCCTGGGAGGCCAGCGACCTGATTCTCTCCCGATAGAGCTGAGCAGCGCGACTGTTGTACTTGGCCTTGGTGTCGTTGGTGGCACAGCCGTGTTGATGGAAAAAAGAAGACTACGGAGGAAAACACACGAATTAATAGCAATACTGCATTAAATCTAACACGACCGAAAACATTGCTTCATGTTGTGAAGGAAAATACTATTATATCAATATGCTAGAAATATGCTAGAAAATACTAGTGAAAACAAAATTAAACCACATATTTTACAAAAATAATTTAAACCACACAATTTAGGGGTGCCTGGTGGCTCAGTTGTTAAGCGTCTGCCTTCAGCTCAGGTCATGATGCCAGGGTCCTGGGATCGAGCCTTGCATCGGGCTCCCTGCTCAGTAGGAAGCCTGCTTCTCCCTCTCCCACTCCCCCTGCTTGTGCTCTCTCTCTCACTGTGTCTCTCTCTGTCAAATAAATAAATAAAATCTTTTAAAAAAATAAAATAAAATAAACCACACAATTCAATATAAACCTCTTCTTGTAAAAGGAATGCCTTCCACACATGCAACATTAGTATTTCGGTAAAACTGGGCATGAGACTAGCGTTACAAAATAAAATTGCTGGCCCTTCATTCCTCCATTAAAGCACCTCTGTCATTCCGGTTTATTTTGTTACTTTAGGGGACACTTTCCACTCTGGACTACTTTTAGTTCATGAGAAATTCATTTCAATTGGAATTCCACTAATTGGAATTGGTTATTCCAATTAGTGGAGCTATGCTGACCTTCACCTTGCCCAGAACTATCTCTTCATGAACAGAGACTGCAGCATAAGCAAGGCAGTAAAACAAATGCTTAAACAATTAGAGGAAACTGTTCAACCACCTCTTAAGGGTCCACATATACAGACATCAATTACAGAATTCATATCTTAATTCAGCTAGGTGTTCTAAAGACCTGTATGAGCAACCCAATTTGATTAATCAGATATACTGAAATTTGTAAATGAAGTTTTACATATTTGAGGATCCTTATTTAGGTTTGGAAGAGGGGTTAAGGAAATCTGCTCTTGTAAAACTAAGCTAATTGGACACTAAAAGGTTATTTTTTTACCCAGAAATTACTAAGTTAAGGATGGGGATATCGTTTGTCTTGTTCGTCACTATATCCCCGCACCTAGCCCAGAGCTTTGTGTGGACAGGGTATTTCACAGATTTGGGGATAAACAAGTCACCAGGGCCATCCACTGCCAACCCCTTCCAGCCTTTGCTATCGGATAGGGCCCCCCCTACAAGCTCATACATGCAAACACCGAGCTTCTTTCCTAGCCTAACCCATATTTATTCAAGAAGGGAAACAGCACATCTGAGATGAACTTACTGCGTTAGCATTTCCTCCAATCTGCATGCATCGCAGCTGAAACCAAGACCAGTTAGAGTCCAGCTCTGTAGATCTAAATGGAAAGAATATTCGCAAACGTTAACACACCTCTCCCCTAGAATCAAGCCACTACACTTTGGAAAACAAGAGTTCCGTGATTTTCCGGATCCTGAAGACTTCTAGGTTTGTGTTAACAGTGACACGGGACGCTGGGCCTGCAGCTCCAGCTCCCCTCGTCCTTCCTAGTGGCCAAGTGTCCGGTGGGCCGGCTGCCCGGCAACCCTCCACACCTGACCACAGGTGGGTCAGGCCAGGCCAGCAGCACCTTGTGCTGCTCGGACCCCAGCCAGCTTCTCTTCTAGGGCGCAGGGACATGACAAGCTCCCTGGGGCTGCCAGAACCACTCTTGACTCCTGGCCTCGCATCCTCAGTGGCTTCTGATCTAAACATCGGTAACGTGTCTCTGCTTGAATTTTTCACATCAGCTATCCATTTGTCCAGCGTGACCTCTAACGGGAGCCTTCGGGATGCTCACAGCCTTATCATCGGGTGGAAGGGACCTACCCAACGTCACCACCATCAGGGAGGGGAGAAAACTCAGGATTTAGTGCTCTTAAAGGGAAAACTCCAAGTGTCTTCTCCCCGACCACACCTTATGCCCTATTTATCTGTAATCTGAGACCAGATCAGGGCAAGGGAAAGGCAATAACTGTATTTCTCAACAATAAAAGTTCTCCGAGTGATCACTGTAAAGCAAGATATGATAGTACAACTGCGTTAGAAGTCTTTATATCAAATCCATAGTATAAGCAAAAAGCAAGGCTGTCCCGTATTCAACAACAGCTTGTCCCACACTAACTGTAAAAGAGTGTGGACATTTTTTTTTTTTTAAGATTTTATTTATTTCAGAGAGAGAGAGAGAGAGAACAAGCAGGGGGAATGGCAGGCAGAGGCAGAGGGAGAAGCAGGCTCCCCGCAGAGCAGGGGGAGCCTGATGTGGGACTTGATCCCAGGACCCTGGGATCATAACCTGAGCCGAAGGCAGTCGCTTAACCAACTGAGCCACCCAGGCGCCCAGAATGTGGACATTTTTTAATGGGTATAGGTAGAGTACCCTGTACAAAACAGGAAGGTAGAAAGAGGTTTCAGATTCACGAAAGTTCTCCTTTTATGCTGTGCCTCCGAGTACTAATTTCTATGCTTCTTTGTATTGCTTAACCTTTGTAAATGTTGCAATGTTATTTTGAAGCCAATAGCTACCTTAAGGTTAATAATAATACTAATACATATTATTATCACACATCCATAGGACAAATCCACTTCACAGCAATACATAAAAAGTAAAATTTAATCCACTCTTTATAAGCCAACAGATTTCCCAAAGACAAGAATAAAATCTTGAAGAACTTGAGGACCAAGCAATGTGACTAAACTATATACCCTGTTCTGAAATCCTTTTTCTGATATATCTTGCTCAGTCCCGTTTCCATGGCTCTCCCTCAGTCCAAGTCGGACACCAGCCCCATCCCACTATGTCATAGGGTGGCAGTTACCAGCACAGTCTCTGGAGACCGACTGAGAGAGAACAAATCTTACCTCTGCCATGACTCGCTGTATGACTTTGGAGAACTTACTGAACTTCTTTGTGCCTACTTTCCTCATGTGCAAAGCAGTGATCATTATAATATGATCTATTTCATTCTTGTAGGAATCAAATGAGCTAATATCTAGAAAGTGCCTGGCTCATGGGAAGTCCCATATGGCTAAAATTCTCCGCATCACGATCACCATGACCATGTTAACCCCATCACGCTGCGTCAGAAGCAGCAAGCTCCAGAGGACAGGGATGTCCCGTATTTTTTTTTGCCACACTCCTACCACAAGCATGTAACGGGTATCTGAATTTGGGCTGCCTTAATTATGTCCTAAAATTGGGGCTGCAAGTCCTCAGGTTGGCTATTCAGCCTTAAAACTTTTGGTCTTAAACAATCTTTAAAAAAAAAAAATAATAAAGCCAAATTATTTCTCTACATTCTCCTTAGAAATGAAGATTACAACTAATTGTTCCTGACCTGGCCTTCCAGGGATTCTCTCTCATTACACTGGACTTTCAAAATAAAAGGTTTTGATGCTAGTGGACTGTGACAACAGTCAGTCTTAAGAGGAAGCTTCATTACTCATGAGTGCCCGATACGAGGAGGTGACTTACTGCAGGTTATTTCTTACCTTTAATTTAGATTAAGACATGTGTGAAAGGTAATAGTCTGTGACAATGCTAAAAAACGTAAGGCAGAGGAAGTAAGAAAAGTTGAAGAATTAGTGCCCTTTTAACGAAGTAGCTCTAGTTAACCAACTAGGTAAATGAGAAAACAGGTTTCTCCCGACCTCTACAATCCTTAGGAGTCAAGACAGGACCTCCTCAACGCTGCGTGAATTAGGGACACCTGCGTGGCTCAGGGCACGATCTCAGGGTCCTGGGATCGAGCCCCACATGGGGCTCCCTGCTCTCACTCTGCTTCTCCCTCTGCCCCTCCCCACCTCGTGCTCACTTGCTGTCTCAAATCAATCAATCAATCAATCAATCAATCAATCTTAAAAAAAAAAAAAAAACCCTGCATGAATTAGCTTCACTAGTGGCTGCCAAAGTCAGTATTTTTTCGTTAAGTAGAACATTTAGATTTTAGAAATCAGAAGGAATCTCACCAAATAATCATGACAAAGTTATCATGTAATGAAAAGTTTTAGGGGCACCTGGGTGGCTCAGTTGGTTAAGTGTCTGCCTTCAGCTCAGGTCATGATCCCGGGGTCCTGCGATCGGGTCCCGCATTGGGCTCCTTGCTCTGCGGGGAGCCTGCTTCTCCCTCTTCTCCCCACTCGTGCTCTCTCTCACTATCTCTGTCTCTCTCTCTCAAATAAATAAATAAAATCTAATTAAAAAATTTAAAAGAAAAGTTTTAAATGGAATTTTACCCTGTTATCACAGTTAATCTAGATGTTTCCTCGCAGACAAACCCGGGAACAGCTTCCAGGCAGGCAGCTGTTTAACTGTCCTGACTGCTCGATAGAAGGCCATGGGAGATGTCGCCTTCCTACACTCACATCACAAGACCTTCTCCTCGCGCATCCACTGGGCAGGCACCCAGATGACTTGGCCCTTCCTTCAAGGGAAGGAAACGGTGACAAGGAGAGGGAAGGAGCACAGCCAGGCCAGTGTCTGTGGGCACCTGCCGCGCCTGGGGCCCAGCCCAGACTGCCCGTGTTCACCCTTCAATGCCTCAGGAGTTAAGGATAGGCTCCGGCCTGGCAGTCAAGACCCTTCAAATGTCAGCCAAATCTTCGCCCTTGGAATCCTTTATCACCTCATTTTCCTATGCATATAAAAATTAGCTACTACACATGTCCCTTTTTCCAGTCTCTATACCTTTCCTTAAAGTCTGAGTGCTGAGCTCCTTTTCCCTGCCTTGTTTCCATTACCAAAATCTCACTGAAATTTTGAAGTTGATTGCAAGTGTTACCCCCTCCTTCAATTTGGACTAACCTTCCTCGGAAGTAGATGCAGTACTGCTTCCATGTCCTGGGCGGCACCTGACAGCCCGCCCTCTTGTTCATGCCCTACTTAAGCCTGTCCCTGCCCCCCAGCCCACTGCAGGGAGGACTAGATTCCATTCACCCTTCATAAGCCCATGAAAGACTCAACAGTGAACTTGAGAAGAAACAGAGCTGGAGGGAGAGGAGCACGGTGCAGAGGGCAAGCCCCAGGGGGCGGTGGGCTGGGGCCAGTCCGTTACGCCCACTCTGCTCCAAGCGGTGGTTGGCCATTTCTGTGGATGCCTAACCCACCTTCCCCTTGTTGGTTGGCAAAAGCCAACAGTTCATAAATTTTTTCCTTTGTAAAACTGTTGACGTGAAAAAAACCCAAATCTCCATTTAAATAAACATTCCACCCAAGCCAAACTGTTCATCTGTTCATGCCTGGGAAGCACAACAGTGAGCGTGGGGGTGTGTGTGGGTGTGTACGTGTGCGTCTGGTCGGGGGGAGAGAGGAAGAAGGAGAGAGAGGGATTTGAGAGGAAGGACTTTTCACTTCTTACTTTATGAGCTTTGGGACTGCTTGGATTTTTCTTCCCACTGAGCTAATGTTTGTAATCGTTTTAACCAATAAAAAATGTCTAGGGGCGCCTGGGTGGCTCAGTTGGTTAAGCGACTGCCTTCGGCTCAGGTCATGATCCCGGAGTCCTGGGATCAAGTCCCACCTCGGGCTCCCGGCTCGGCGGGGAGCCTGCTTCTCCCTCTGACCTTCTCCCCTCTCATGCTGTTTCTCATTCTCTCTCTCTCTCAAATAAATAAATAAAATCTTAAAAAAAAAAAAATGTCTAAACAGCAAACCTCCACCTCTTAAAAACAAAAATCCTACCCTTATCATCCTTGACCTACTCTTGCCCAACTCCTAGACTGCTGCCCTCCAGTTATACAGGACTTTTTAACAACCGTTTCTGAATCACTTATAAACACTGTGATTCATGGTTATATTTATCTGACTTTTTAAAGGCTAGTCACTAAAACTACAGCAGCCCAAGCCGACTCTGCTGTCTAGCCTCATTAGGCTTCCGGTCGGTCCTTCCCTCACCCGGGAACACGTCAGATTTCCTGGAATGGTTTAAACTGGAGGTGTGCTTTGGTGGTGAGGCAAAGGGAAGGCCAGATTATAGTGGGCGGGTTCAGCTGAGAGGAAGAGAGGAAGAACAAAGGAAGGCAGCCAATTATAAATTGTCATATGTTCACTGGTAACAACCAATCGGGGGCAGGTAAGGGGTCGGGGGGGAGGACATTAAAAAGAAACTTGCCTTGGCAAGTAAATACCTCCACATTTAAAAAAAAAAAAGACAAGAACAGGATAGTGTATTCAAAATATTCTGGGACCAGCGTCTCTACGAGAAAAGAAAAGACGGGGCGCCTGCGTGGCTCAATCAAGCATCTGGCTTCAACTCAGGTCGTGATCCCGGGGTCCTGGGATCGAGCCCCACATCGGGCTCCCTGCTCGGCAGGAAGCCTGCTTCTCCCTCTCCCACTGCC